ACCCTCGCCTCCTCTTCCCAGCCCACACATGTCTGTGTGTATGTCCATGCTGGGGTCGTTTCAGGAGGACCGTTGGGGTTATGAGGAGCCAGACGGCACTCAATGGTCCGAAACAAGCTGTTCAGATAAATAACTTACTCAGACTTCAGTCCTCTCATCAGGAGCAGCATAGTGTGAAATGTCAACAACAACCTCCTTAATGGAACAAAGAAGAAAACAGCAACCAAAGCTACATCCATTAGAGACAGAGAGAGAAAGAGCACAGTGATTCTTTGCAAATTTTCACTTGGCAGTTTAGGACAATGTCTGTATCATCATCACCCTTGCAACTGTAAACTAAATGAGGGAAGGGGGGTTTCGTCGAGTGGATGTTCAATCTTGCGGCATCACGACACACACTGCCACTGACATCACAAGCTGGCGTCCTGCTCTGCCAAACACAACACGGCTAAGTGCTCCTTTTTCAGCAGAGGGTACGGTGTCGGTCCCGGCTGTCCAACCTCACTGTCAGGACTGGCTCCACCCCTGGGGCGGCCATACTGGAGGACCAGTTAGAATACTGGAAGCACTGCGAGGAGCTGTGATAGGCCACTGACAGCTGGCTCTTCTTGGTGGCCAGGTGTTGTCGGCAGCAACAGAGGGCTCTGACCAAGATGGCCACCGCCAGGAGAAGGAGGGCGCCCCCAGCGGCCATAATGTAATACCAGTGGATGGGCAAGGGAGGCACAGGAACGCCTCCCCCTGGTGGAGAGATACAGAATAATTGGCCAGCGGGAAAAGAGAGGAGTGGCACTTGTTTATTTTCTACATTTTATTCTCTATTTTCTATCCCTACTGGTCTTCATCATACGAACAGCAGGCGTGCACCTCATATGAGCATGCACAAGCATGCCAGTTGCAAAAAAATATAAATAAATCTCCAAGGCCAAAAAATTAAAGAAATAAAATGCATCCATTTCTCTCATGTAGCTTGGGTTGCAGTTGGACTACAAGTTTTCACACCAAGATCATCAAGAGATTTGGCTTGAAATCGGTCCAATGGTTGATCCAATCAAATGCAATGCAATTAAATTTTTTCAAAGCTCCAATGAAATGACTTGGTGTGAAACGAAAGCCAAAATAATTAGTTATAAAAGCACCCACACACATTGAATTAAGGAGCTTCCTCTTCCTGTTTGGCACAGGAAGTCACAAACAGCCCCCTGATAAAGTCTCAGAACCATGCAAGAATCAGTCGGACACCACATGGGAATCCAATGTTCCAGAGCTCTCTCTGAGCTGATGCTGGATTGGGATTTGTTATTTAGCTGGCTCGAGTTGGCAGATTTGTTTTGAGTACATAATTTATCCTGTTCTCTGTTCTTGCTTTTTCCTTTTTCCTTTTTCTCATGCATCAGCCTCCTGGCCAGTCCTCTCCTCCTCAAGCCAAGCTCTGTCTCCTTGGAGACTATCTCCACAGATCCTCTACGCTGCTGCCCCTGGCTTGAACCCCCTTCTCAAATTCTTGGTAAGAACCAGCTAACCACCTTCCAAGAAGCCTCTACTCGACTATCCAAGGCTGATATGCAAAAAAAAACGATCCCCCGAAGACATTGACAAAACTGAAAAATAAAGCCCACATGCGCCCATCCAAACTAGATGTTGAGAGTTGTGAGACTAAGAGAATGTCAAATTGAACTAGGGAAAGTGAAGCAGAGCTGAATACATTCTGATTTTTGGACCATGTCACATAATTACAGAGGGAAATGGTGCGTGCTCCTGCTACTTCACACTGCACACACTCATTAGACAGAGCTGAGTTAGGGAGAGGAGAGAGAGACACCCGTGGTTGCCGCTGCTCAGTCACTCTATCTGATTGCTTTCCACTGGGGACACCGGTGTGTCTGTGTGCGGCGATAATAATGTGTGTGTTTGTGCGTGTTTGTCAAGGGTTAGAGACTCCGTGTGAGAAGGCGGAAGGGGGCTCGAAAAGCCGAAGAAGTGCACACACATCACATTCGCACTGGAAACCGCCGAGCTCTTATCTTATTGGAAGACATTATGAGATGCCAAAACACTAACATCAATCTCATAGAGTCCCCCAGGATGCTCTAAATATTTTTCATGAGGCAGACAGTTATTTAAAACCCTTCAGGCTGTGTCAGGCAGTCTAGAACTGAGAATATGTAGCTCTGTTCAAATATCTGACTCCATGAGGTGTGCTTGATTTAGCTTGCCTTGCACGCAGAGTTTGCTCTTTTGAGACTAATCCTTTGTTTCCACTAAGACTGACGAGGTAAAACTAATGCACAGAAACACATGACAGAAATCATCTAGCCTCCAACTTTGTTAGAGTTTGAAAAAATTCAATCTGTATTTGGAAATGTAATAATTCCGAAGGGTTTAGTATTTGTTTGGCGATGTCTACATGCTGCTGAGGATGCAATGAATCACTAGTTTTAAAAAAATCAGCTCTAGCAGACTCAGCCTCTGTGTGGTTGGGGGTTTTAGGCTGCCTCTTTACACGACTCAGTGCCACCAAGCAAAAAAACCCCAGGCTAGTGCATACCAACGGGCAGGAAGCAAGACCAGAGAGGAAGTGACATCATACCAAAGTGAAACTCACCTGGATTCTCAGGTGGAAAAGCCGTGAAGGGTTCTGTGAGGACAGAGAGAGAGTCGGGACATAGAGAGATAGGAACAGAAAGAGAGGGAGAGGGAGAACTGTTAGATAACTTTAAATACGAGGGAAAAGTCAGCCAAATGTCACACAAATGTCACAAGACTATCAAACTCCTCCTGAGGAAATTTAACTTAATTCCTCAGATAACTCACATGAATTATGGCATTTACTCGGCTCCTTTGCTAGAATGCAATTTCAAACAGAGCGCATTGTGTGCGTTGGGAATTTGAGATGGGCTGTGCTGCGAGTGTATAGGCAACGTGTGTGTGTGTGTGTGTTTGCAAAGTTCACGCATTTCAAGTTGTTTATCTGTGGAGTCCAGTTAAACTGGAGCGGGCATGTTTTTTTTTTTTTTTTGGCTTGCTGCAAATGCACAGAGCAGAACCTTCACTTTGATTGCCTGGAATGCAAAACACAAAGAACTGGTGTGTGTGTCTTAGTGTGTGCTATGTCTATGTGTGTGTATGTGTGTGTGTTGGGGGGGGGGGG